AGCAGACCCAGCTGAGAGAGCGGAGAGCCGCGCTGGAAACATCCCTAAAATCATGCTCTCATTAATGCTTTCATATGAGACATGCCGTGAAAGCCTCAGAACTAAACCGCATGTGTTAGCCTCTGGACAAATTCATAGTGATCCATTTACTGGAATGTGTAGATTCTGGATCAAATCCCAGAGCTGGAATCCGGTCTGTGTCAGTGGCAAACATTAAAAGATTGCCAAATGTAACTTTGATGTCCGTGTCTTCCACTGTCAGCACAGCATCTCCGCCTGAAATGTAAAAGGGAGGGGGAATTAAGAAATTTAAATATATGAAGTCTGCATTAAATGAAAGCTATGACTTTTGTAATGTATATCTGAGTGAAATGGTTAGTGTGTCCCAGTTCGCCTACTTATACCCAGCCCTAAAAGTATGTAATCTTTTTGTGAAGAAAAAGTGCATACATTTAAGTGAAAATTCTGTCATTAATTACTCACCCTCAAGTCGTTCCAAACCCTTAAGACCTCCGTTCATTTTTGCAACACTAATTAAGATATGTTTGATGAATTCTGACAGCTCTCAGACCCTCTAAGAAAAAATGTGCTTGGGATCTTGGGCTATAGTGTCCAAGTAAAACAGCATGCCTTTAATGTTCAAAACATGTTTAATTTAACTTCAACACTAACTGTTTTTGTCTTTTGAAAAAAAATATCCTTTAAGTTTATTTCTTCATGTCAGTCAGATTCATAATGGTCAGTTGTACTAAAATGGCATCTAATTTTAATGGAAATAACATTTTATATATACAGTATCTCACAGAAGTGAGTACACCCCTCACATTTTTGTAAATATTTTATTATATCTTTTCATGTGACAACACTGAATAAATTACACTTTGCTATAATGTAAAGTAATGAGTGTACAGCTTGTATAACAGTGTAAATTTTCTGTCCCTTCAAAATAACTCAACACACAGCCATTAATGTCTAAACCGCTAGCCACAAAAGTGAGTACACCCCTAAGTGAAAATGTCCAAATTGGGCCCAATTAGCAATTTTCTCTCCCCGGTGTTATGTGACTCATTAGTGTTACAAGGTCTCAGGTGTCTCAGGTTTTACAAAGCTCATCGTTCTGAAAAGCGAGGTGTGCTGTGATTGGCCAGCTATCCAGTGCATTGTGATTGGCTGAATACCTCAAGCGTGTGACGGAAATGTTACGCCCCTCACCATACTGTGATGCCGTGTCCCGGCACGACGAGACAAAATCAATAAAACCCATTATAAATTAGGCATTTGTTGCATCCAGTGGGGACATAATTATGGATTATAATGAATTATACTGTCTTTTATTGTGTTGCATCGTGCCGCATAAACATAAAACCATGTCTGCATTTGTGATCGGAGAAATGACAAACAACAAGTGCTACTCAACACTGCTCAAAACTCGCGTTTGAATCATCAGTGACAAATTCTTTAAATATAAAAAACGTACTTAACCTCTGTGAGTCAGAACAGTCGGCATTGTAGTCTACTCTCCCAGGATCAGGAAACAGCCCTCCATAAAATGCACTGGACATGAATATTGAATACATGAATATTTGGGTTAAACTGTTCTGGAACAGTGTTGTAAATACAACTTACTACAACCACTGATTTCTAGTCGTGTCCTCTTTTGGAAGGCCAAACAAAGTAGTTTCGCTTTCACAAGGAAACACACAGCGTCTCCGCGACATGACGGCGGCGGCAACAACAATACTACAGCGAGAATAAAAGTTACGCCGCCTTTCTTTGCGTGAATTCATTTGGGCGGTGTTATGCAAATCTTCTACATTTAGGTAGGCATGGTTAACTCTTAGGTGTCTCTCCAGTGTGGACCCTTTCGTGTCTTTTCAGATGATTTGTCTGATTGAATCTCTTGTTGCAGTGTGAACACTTATAAGGTTTCTCTCCAGTGTGGATCCTCTCATGTATTTTTAGGTCTCCTGACTTCTTGAATCTCTTATTGCAGTGTGAACACTTAAAAGGTTTCTCTCCAGTGTGGATCCTCTCATGTATTTTTAGGTCTCCTGACTTCTTGAATCTCTTATTGCAGTGTGAACACTTAAAAGGTTTCTCTCCAGTGTGGATCCTCTCATGTATTTTTAGGTCTCCTGACTTCTTGAATCTCTTATTGCAGTGTGAACACTTAAAAGGTTTCTCTCCAGTGTGGATCCTCTCATGTATTTTTAGGTCTCCTGACTTCTTGAATCTCTTATTGCAGTGTGAACACTTAAAAGGTTTCTCTCCAGTGTGGATCCTCTCATGTATTTTTAGGTCTCCTGACTTATTAAATCTCTTGTCACAGTGTGAACACTTGTAAGGTTTTTCTCCAGAGTGAGTCATTTCATGCAGTTTTAAACAGTTTGCTGTAGTAAAAGTCTTTTCACACTCAAAGCACATGTATTCTCTCACACCAGTATGTGTTTTCTGATGTACTTTCAAATTTTGTAGATGCAAAAAACTGTTACCACACAACTTACATGAATGTGGCTTCTCCTTTGTATGAACTTTCAAGTGTTTCTTCAGACCTGAAGCCCATAAAAACATTTTACCACACTGATCACATGTGTACGGTTTCTCTCCAGTGTGGATGTTCATGTGTACCTTAAGGTTTGCTGATTGTGTGAAACTCTTCCCGCATTGATCACAAGTGAACGGTTTCTCTCCAGTATTAACTCTCATGTGACGCTCAAGACCTGTTTTGCTCGTCAAACACTTTCCACACTGAGTGCAGGTGAAAGATGTCTTGGCTCTTCTTTTCATTAAATCTTTCTGTTTGGTCTGAGAGCAACTCAAAGGTTTTTCTCCAGTTTTGACATGATTTTTCTCCTCAACATCACTTGATTCTTCATTTTCCTCTTTTTCTTCAATGAACTCTGAAATAAAAGTAAAAATGGTTCATTTTCAGTATCTTGTTAAAAGCTAAGAAATGTGAACATAAAAGTGAACCCTAATGTAACAGTGCAGGGCTCCAGACTAACATTTGTTAGCAGTGGCACCAGCACCACTAATGGCGCTTTTCCACTGCATTGGAACGGCAAGGTACGGTTCACTTTTGGGGGGTTTTCCACTGGGTACAGTACCTGGTACTTTGTTTTAGTACCACCTCGGTTGAGGTTCCAAGTGAACCGTACCATTACCAAAACATGACGTGTAAGCTATGCTGATTGGCCGGAGAGAATCACCACTACCTGCGTCACTAAATTTGCAACACAAACACAACAGAACCGCTAGATTTAAATCAGCACAGCCAGCGAAGGATCGAATGCAACTGTTTTGAACGAGCAAACTTTTTTAACAACAAAAAAATGGCTGTTTTGTGGTCTGTTGAGGGAGTACAGACTTTCCTCTCGTTGATAGCAGAGGAGTGGATCCAGCGAGAGCTTGATGGGGCGATGCGGAATGAAAACGTTTTTCAGAAGTCGCAGCAGTAGAGGCGGCACAACTATAATGACATGTGAATAATCCCCCCCCCACTCTAAAGCGGTACTAAGCTGCAGTGGAAACGCGAGCCGAGCCGGGCTGTACTGAGCCGTGC